GCGGGGCCTATGAGGAAAAAAAAAAAGATGAGATCCATGTATAAGCTTTGAAAATTTTGGTCATTCACAACATACACTATTAATTAATTAATCAAAACACTTAGCTTACTTCTCTCCTTTCTTGGCAGCTAAAGCTACAAGGGAGGAAAAAATAACTTCTAGTAAAGAAAATACTACTATACTACATCTATTTCCAATTTCAAAAACCTATGCACCAGTAACAAACAATTCAAAACATAAGAGTTCAAATTTGCAGAGTTCAAATTAAAATAAGGCTGCCATTTTCAGAAAAAAATATTTTTCTTCAGGTTTGAAGACAACTAAACAGACTAAAAAATATCTGCATTATGTCATAGATTTCCTTTTACTTTCCCCTCAACTGCCTCCCCCTGCAAAGTGTAAAAGTTGCTAGAGGATCTAAAGGGTTAATTTAATCCACCAATCAGTGGCCCTGAGAGTATTTTCCCACTAGCTCAGGCCCTTCCTTACCAGAATCATGCAAACCACAGGTTTAGAACACTACTGACATTTTGGGTCAGGTAATTCTTTGTTGTGTGGCGGGTAGAGTGGTGTAGGGTATGTCCTGTGCATTACAGGATGTAAAGTTTCCGGACACTGCCAAATGTCCCTTGGAGGGCAAAATCACCCCTGTTTGAGAACCACTGGTTTAGATGTTAGGGTCCTGGGTCTTTGAAAAAGCCTCCAACCAGTCCTGCTAATTATAATTTTTAAAATTAATTTTGTTTTTGAAATTTGGATTTTTAAAAATAAGATGGGAATAGTACAAGAAGATATCTAAATAATATATATGTCATCCTCCTTTAGATTAAAGCATTTTTAGAGGATTTTGTAACATGAATTTCATCTAAGTGGATATATTAGTCCTCCCCTATCCCAAAGTTATGGAAATGTCCTCCTCTGCTAGTAAAATGTCAAATACTATACATACATATACACATGCATGCATGCATGCATATATAAGAGAACCTAAACAATTCTAATTTACAAATCCCCATTTCTTGCCTTACAAGTACATGGTCACATTGTCATTCTTGAGCCATGTTCAAACTTCTGCTCTTCAGATTTCCTCATCTGGTTCCTGCCATCTATTTGTGAAGCAAGCCAGAAGTAAGGTCTTTTCCGACCCTAATATTCGATGGCAAAAATACTCTCTCAGCTTTTACTTACTGACTCCCAGCTGACCAGAGCACCTCTTAAGATCACCGAAGCCATTCATGCTAACTTTTTTTCTCCACACTTTACATTAATCTATGCAAAATACAACAAAAAGTATGTCAGTTGTCTAAAACAGTGATTTTTTTTTAATTGGGGTATGGGAACAGCACTGGGGAATTGGGGGGAAGGGGAAAAGACAAGTTGCTGTCCTTTTTTTGTTCTTCAGTTTAGTTGTGGGGGACGCTGCTTCACTAGACCAAGTTGGCACCATCATTGCGCTTTTCCCGGGTGAGGCAGATCAGTCGCCGGCTTCTGGACAGCCGCTCACTGCGGCTGCTGGCCGCTCACGCTGGCTGCTGGCTACGCACAGTAGCCCATGGCAACCCACTGCAGCAGGGGCTGCA